TTAACACGATGAAAAAGACTCTTGAAAATGCTGATTAGTTTGTCAAAGAGGTGTCAGACAAGAGGTCAAAAAAGTGGGCATTGATTTTGTATTCTTATTTTTATCTATTGTCTTATGATAAGGTTCCAAGGAAGATGTGTGTGTCTTTATTCTCCATGTAACTTCTTTAGTTTGAATTTTTATAACTTTTTATAATTGCAAGTATGTATTTTTGCTTAGATGCAAATTAGTTTTTGTAACTTTGTGTGTAATAATACTAACTACTAACAAAGGTTAAAAGAAACAATTGCACAGAGAACTATTTATATTTTTCTTTAAAGATTCCTCAATTTTGTTTATATAAGCTCATTATTTTTTATTTCATGAAACCCCTACTTGAGATTATCTTTTTTATTTCATATTTGAAATAGTGTGTTCCTTAATTTTTCTTAAAGTTTTTTCTCACATAACTACTAAAGCATAAGTTAAAGAGCAAAAGAGGCACCTATACATTTCTTATTTCAAGTTAAATAACAAACATTGAAGAAGAGTATTAACTACTACAAAAACTACACTACAACATATTTTTACTTCAATTTGTTGGATTTTCATTTCATGAAAAGTTTTATTTTTAAAACATAGAAAGTGTAATTCAATTTTATTTTGTTATGTACTCTTCGGTTCCATGATATTCACCTTCTTGTAGTATGTCAAATTCTTTTTAGTTTGGGGCAGAGCCATAAAGTAAGATACTTCTACTTAATTAATTTTAATATATATCTTGAAAAAAATATAGTTCTTTGACCCAGTTTTTTTATTATATAAATTTCTTTTGATTGAATAAGGGTAAGATTGAAAAAAAACATCATTGAAGTCTTCATAATTATGTAAAATACTATTGGAAACAAAATAAAAAATAAAAACAAAAACTTTATTTTGAAATAAAGGGAGTATGTAATGTAAGAAAGTTAAAAAAATATTTAAAAAGTTAAAATAAGTTCTTTATTATTTGTGAAGTGATCAAAATTATTATAACACTTTGATTATCCAAATGTCACCTTGATGTCTATAATATAATTAGCTAGACAATCCAACTATACTTAGCAATTTAAATTAAATATAATTTACGAATGCTCATTTTTATGTTTTAGACATTACAATATCTATATTTTATCAAATTATTTTCATACATCTTATACAATCTATTTCAATTATCATATAATTATCGGTTTATTTAGTCTTTTTTAAAATTACACAAAATAAGCGGTTTTGTTTTTTATTTTATGTTCTAAACTCTACTTTTTAAATCTGTATACGTTATAATTTCCGACATATAAATACAATTATTTTCACTTTGTTATGGATGGAGTGAATGGACCATGCTCTTCTTTGTTTTCTCATATACTTTTTTTAGAGTTTTGTTTATCTTCAAGCTGGTTATATGATATTAATCAATTTATGTTTAACGAAAACTAAAAAAGTACTTTTTCTTCCTTTATGTAATAGTATGTTTTATATGTTAGAAATTAGTTCAATGTGAATAATAAAATGAATTCACATTTAAATTTTTATCTATTTAATTGAATTTGAACTAAAAACTCTTTTATATTCAAATATTATGAAAAGATTAATTTATATTTTTGATATAATTTTATGACCGCGCATAGCGCAACTGAATTACCTAGTGTTTAATATAATAACACTAGAGTTTTATTTCCTTTGGGCCTTGAGATGGTGACACTGTATTAGTGGTAGGAATGTTTGAAAATGTTGAATACTTCTTCGTTACAAATTAATAGTAACTTTAATTTAAAAATATATTTCAATAATAGTTATTACTTTAAAAAAATTAAATTTAAATAGATAATTATCATCAATTATATCTTTAATATTAAATAAGAAAACAACTATTTAAGAAAAAAAATCAGATTATTTTATTAAATAGAAATAACTAGTAAATTATATAACTCATTTATTAATTTTTATAAATAAATATAAATAGAGTTAAAGCCACAATTAAAATAAGATTGTGAGTTAACGCAATAATTTATATATGTATATTTAGGAACTACTCGTTCATCTTAATTATGTAGTTCACTTTTTTAAAATCTTTTTAAGAATGTTACCTTAATATTTAAAAGCAATTTTAACATCAAAATAGATTTATTTTATATTTTGTGAGAGAATTTATATTCATAAAAAAATTTAAGATTTATTCTAGATAATAAAAATTATATATTTTTTTATCATGAATTAGAAGGATAACGTTTTAGTAAAATTTGGAGGGTGTCTTATTTTTAGCTCAAAAATCCTTATTGAGACCATAAGGCTTACAAAGATTACGCATTCAACAATAGCTGCATTTATAAAAACACTCTATCGCGTTTTCTTATGCAAGCATCGTTTTCTTATGCAAGCATTTTGAAAAGAAGATATCCCTTCCGTCTCAACTTATGTGACACTTTTTGGATTTTGAGATTTAAACAAGTCTATCTTGATCGTAAATTTTTTATATATCTTTTAATTATTCTGAATTATCAATTATTGTGACTTATAATACTTTTTACGTAGTTTACAAATATATAAATTTCTTTTCAAAATAGTGAAGATTCCACGCGCAAATATCTGGTCAAACTTAAACTGTTTGTTTCTCAAAAAAATGAAAGTGTCACATAAATTGGGAAAGAAGGAGTAGTTTTTATGAAAAAAGTATGTTTCATAATAGGGTAACTTATGTAAATCCTTCTATTTTAGGATCTAATTACTTAGATTCACACTACTTTGCAATATTATATTCCTTAACATATTTTGGGTCTCAGATACATGTATTTGTCTCTTTTAATACGTGTATCTCGTATCAATTATTGTGTCTACTTAAGAGATATAATTGAAAGTCTTTACTTAAGGAGTGTCTAATTAAGAAATATGACCGAAAATCATTAATTAAGGAGAAAATCATGTTTGCAACAACTTTAAAAGATATGACATATCATAACTCCTAAATAAATTAATCAAAATTCTTCTCTTTTTTGGGCGATTAAGCAAAGTTTAGATTTCTTGACTCAGATTCATGAACTATTATTTAGATACATATACACTTAATCAGATACACTGATTAAAATTTAGAAATATATAATCTTAACTCAATAATGTGTCAGATATATCAATAATGTGACAGATACATGCATAAATCTCCAATACATGTGTATATCTATTCAGATATATATACACTTAATTATATACACTGATAAAAAATAGACACATATGATCTTAACTCAAGAAAGTATTTGATACATCAATAATTTTAATTCGATCCAAAAAAATCCCTTTCTCATCTTCTTCCTCGTTGAGGTTTATCACAATTACTGCATAAACCTCTTTCCATTTGCAACAAATTACATACTATCTCACTCTTTTGTTCGTCAAAGTTATTGCATTTTTGGATTTTCAAATTTAAACGACTGAAAATATTGAGAATTACAGTTGTAATTTTCATGCCTTTTTTCGAGTAACAATAAATAAACATTCTTGAGAATCATAAGCTATGAAAGAAAATTAAGAAAACTCTAAATCAATAGAGTTTTACCTTAACTTTTAAAAACTAGAAGGAAAACAACTTAAAATCTATCATGAATACATGAGTTTGAAAATAAATAAATAGATACAAACCTCAAATTGTTTGGTCACTAGGAAGGAGGTAATATTAAACAGAAAAATTATTGACTTGACAAAACCCCTAAAGGGGATAATTAAATAGAATAATAATTTTATTATATTTCTGTTTGAATTTAATATATTTAACATTTTGAAAAATGCATTAAGAAATGACTATAATTGATAATAAAAGTAAATTAAGAACTAAGCGATAAATTATTTTTTGATATTTTTATAGAAGTAAAAATTGATTCAAGAGGGAGTAGTATTATACTACGTATATTTTATTTAAGCCAATCACAAGTGACTAAAAATGAATAACTTGGTGCAAACAAAGCCAGCATTAATCTGTTTGACATGGAGCGGAACAATAAATTTATTTGAGTTCACTGTACACACCTCCCCATACCCTCTTCAGTCTTCTCTTTCAATGCTCTATGTCCCCTCCTCATCTAACAATCCAGCTGTTAATTTACTTGGCACTAGCACTTTTACTATTTTTCTTTATTATCTTTCTCCCAAGAAAATGAAAATAAATTTTTCTTTGAAAAAAATGCTTACTTTAACATTTTTAATTAGTGATGGAGCTAAAATTTTCATCGAGTAAAGCCATAAATGCACAAAAAAACTAAAGAGACTCAACATATTAATGTATATTCACATACATTTTTCTACCTAACCAAAAATGATATTTATCGATAATTTATTAATAACAATCATTTAATTGTCGCTATATTTATATTTTTTTAGAGGTAATTACTAGAGATAATTACATTTTAGCACTCTTTTATAAATGTCGCTAAAGATTATAGCGATATTGCATCTAATGACAATTAACTGAATCAAACAAACACCTTTAACACTCTTTGTTAATGTTCATATTCATTATTTTTATTGTAATCCCATCTGTATAATGTTTTAGCGAAGGAATATCAATTGACACTTTTTGAACAAGAATAACTCTGCCCCTAACTATTATCGTATCGATGGAAGGGGTGGGGGTGGAGGAGGAATATTCAAGAAAGTAGCATGGAAAATGTAGAAGTGTTGTATGGTCAGGTCATGGTGTGAGGGTGACAAAGTCATGACTACAACACCACCTAATCCCACCACTAACTCTACATTTTTGACTCAGCCAATACACATTTTTGTTAAAACAAACTTTTCATTACTTCAAAATAAGTTAAATTAAGGACCCTTTTTAATTAGTACTACCTACCATCTTATATATTTTTCTCACGTTTTTGTCTCATTTTTTCTTAATTTTCTTTTCATTACACATTTAGTAGTAAACCCCTTATGTCACATTAAAATAAAAAAAAAATCTCTACATAAAGCCCAGCCAGGATTGAGGTATACTCAACTTTCTTTTTTTCTCATTCCTCTCTGTTTCAAGCTGTCCTTTGGAGGTACAAAAGACAAAAATAATCATAATCATGGGAGATATATTGAACAATGATCAAATTGTTGAATTGCAAGAAGCCTTCAGTCTATTTGACAGAGATGGAGATGGTAATTTTTACTAGTCTTTTTCAAATTATTTTTGAATGATATATTAGTATGTTTAGGGCCGGGGACGGACGAATCCAGTAACTTTTACTTAAATAGGGTATTTGTATCAAGAAGTTTATTGAATATATATATGTAAATATTAGATTTAAAATACAGTTATAATCACTTATACTCGTTATTCTTAAATTCAGAACTTATAAAGTTGAAATTTTGACTTACCGCAGGTTGCATAACGGTAGAAGAATTAGCGACAGTAATAAGGTCATTGGATCAAAATCCAACAGAGGAAGAACTGCAGGATATGATAACTGAAGTTGATTCTGATGGCAATGGAACCATTGAATTCACTGAATTCTTGAACCTTATGGCCAAGAAAATGAAGGTAAAATCAATTTTATCTTTGTTATTTATTTTTTATTATAATATATGCATGAGAATACAAATCTCGTAAAAGTAGTGTATTTTCAAAGAATATGACAATATTTTGGAGAGTGCGAGTAATATAAGAAATTATGGTAATAGCTATATGTTTTGTTCTTTATGAAACAGGATACTGATGCAGAGGAGGAACTTAAAGAGGCTTTCAAGGTGTTTGACAAAGATCAAAATGGTTACATATCCGCTAACGAGGTATTTATATCTAGATAGATTATATACAACTGTTTTAAACAAATAAATATGCAGACAAAATATAACTAAATCGTAATTATTTTGGACTTATTGATTCTAGATCGTGGATGCATTACTGATTCGCTTTTTGTCTGCATATACTTTATGTTGAATTCTTTTGATTTCCTGAACTGATTACTTTTTTTTAGTAGTGAAAATTCTGATTCCGTTTGGATCACAACAGATTAGCTAATTTTGTGTATTTGTAAAATTACATTCCAAAAAAAAAATAGCTTAAAATATATATGTTGAATAATTAGTACAGTTCGTAAGTCAATCATGTACGGCCAGTACTCATATTGTCGACGAAGGCCAATCAAAAACATAAAGTTTCATTATAATTAAATTAAAAAAGGTTACAATATGCTCATTGGATATTAAAAATATAAAATTAATTCTTGACATTGTCACAACTGCTAGGGTTTTATGGAAGGGGTTCACATGTGAATTTGATCTGTCATTACTACTATATAGTATGATAAAATAATCTTATTTATACAGCTGTTTCAAATCCAAAGTTTAATTAGGGTATCTCACTAGACCAAATTTTTCGTCCAATGAACTTTTCCATAGTTCACACTGACCAATTGCACTTACTCTTTTTGACTTTCTTTAATTTTCATATTTAAATAGTCCCAAGAACATTTATATGTAATTTAGAAAAATTCTACGATAGTGGGTAGGTTTCACAATGTTATTGGCTTGGGAATTGCGAAAAGATTGAGTTTGAATGTAACTTATAGAACTTGTTTTTTTCTTACTCTGTTAGACAAAATATTTTGATCAACCAAATATGAAAAATATCTTATAATAGAAATTATTTCTTGGTCAATGTGTAGCTAAGGAATGTGATGATCAATCTAGGGGAGAAATTAACAGATGAAGAAGTTGAGCAGATGATTAGAGAAGCAGATTTGGATGGTGATGGTCAAGTTAACTTTGATGAATTTGTTAAAATGATGATGAATGTTGGATAGAATTTAATTAATTAGAACCTCAAAATCATTAATTAATATTCATAATTTCCTTCTTAATTTTATTCTTTTCTTATCAATCTCCATGTTATTGTTCTTCTATTTTAGCATTTGTTTAATTTTTGTTGACTCATCAATGTAACAAACAAGAAATTGTAGGATGATTTGACTATTATTAATATTAGTTTATGAAATTGTACTCTCTTTCTTTTAAGTTTGTAAGAAAAAAAAATCAATTTTAGTGGAAATTGAGTCAATATATTGAAAACAATGATTCTGATTACTAAGGAGTTGTTTGATCATGAGAATTATTCATCTTTCAACTCTGTTTTTTCAATTCCATCTTAGTAAATTCTAAATAAAGTGCCTCTCTTTTCTCGTTTGCAAAAAGTATAAGGTAATCTCAACTCCTCTACCTATATGTTAACAATCATCTCTTCATAAAACATAACTATTTCCTATAAGTAGAGTACAATCAAATTTTCAATATAAAAGTTGTTTAAATCAAAAGAATACTTGAAGGAGGATCAAAATGGAACGAGTATAGTTTGCGAAGCAGTCATTACTCAGATATTCATTTGTTGAGTCTCCGTTGTGATGAAAAGTGTTGGTTGAAACAAAAAAATCATATGAAATGATAGAAAACAAGCGCGTATCTTACTTAATGAATTGATGTTGATGTGGTGCAATGCTGAAGAAGGATGGTTTGAGCTGGCGCCTTCCACTTCCTTTTGGTGAAGTCTTTGAATCCATCTCCGAGCTAGATTCATCATTTTCACCGGTCTTCAACAAGCCTAAAGTTGGAACTTTTGAAACCTGATAATCATTTTTTTCCATCCTAATAGTCTTTTCTTCAACTGCCACAGCCTCATACTCCAAAATAAGTTTTCGCCATATTCTGCTCTCATTGTTAAGTTTGAGAACTTTGCGTGGGAGTCTAATGATAAACTTCTTGTTAGTGTCTTCTCAGGATAAAGAAGTGGAGTTTGATCCGATTCTTCAGACTTAGCATCATAAGAGACACCAAAATCAAAGCTTAGAGACTTTCTATGCTCAATTTCATCACCTAATAATTTCTCTGAATTCGATTCAACACTGAACCTTTGTATGCTAATTTCTGGTGCTTTAGTGCATGTTGAACCATTTACACATTTGTCATTCGTAAAAGCTAGTAGTTCGATACTTTTCTGTTCATTTTCTGCCTCCAATTTTGGATTCTCCAAGCTCTTATTTTCTTGAAAAAATTGCACATCAGAGTCTTTCAATGACAAGAAGTTCAGAGCCAATCTGCTCTTTAGAGCGTGTAATCCCTATGTTCCACTCATCAGCAGCATCAGATCCTTGCATCATTCCATCTGGATACAGAGAATTGATTGAAATAGATGAAGTTTCTACACACACATCATTTCCTGATTTAAATGTGCCTAGCTGCAATATGCACTTATCGGTCAGTTCTGTGCTACACGACTTCACAACTCTTCCGCCTCCTCATGCAACAATACCTGCTTTCATTTGTTCATGATTATTAATTAGTGAAGTAAATTTGGTAGGACTTATTTCCTTTTCGGCCACCATTTCAAAAACTTCTTCAGCAGACGATATTGTTTGTTCCACAGGATGTTGGTACTTAGCAGGAAAGACATCAGTATGAACACTTGCATTGTCAGCTGCCTTAGCCACATTTGCCACCTTCATTGCATAATCCTCCTTTATTATGGTTGATTGAGCTGCGTTGTCAATGTGCGATTCATAAAATGCATGTTTTGAGAGCTCAGTTCTCTTATGATCGCGTTTCTTCCCTGCATTTTCTGATCGATTTGGCACCTCTTGAGTAAGATCCATGCATTTGTTTACCTGAAGAGTATCTTCAGAATGTTGACTTGCAGTATCTCTTATATGTGAATTCATTTCCATTGTTTCGTCTGCTTAACCGCTACCCCCAAAAGCATTTCCAACACTCATAATTTCATGTTTTTCCTCATTTAATCTGTCTTTTTGAACATTGATATCTGGACTAACTGAGTCATTAAACTCTGCAAATGAAATAAAAACAAGGTTTCTGTTGGTTCAAGAGAAAGACAATTAGTTCCCATAAAACAGATGATCGAAAACTACTGCAGAATTGAAGCCAATTCCATAACTATAATAAACTAAACCTCCTTTGTGACATTCAGAGTAAACAGTAGGATCATCATATGTTTTTTCATGATAGCATTTAGTTTCGTCTTCACGAATTATGTTCCTTTCTGTATTAACAACAACTTCTTGATTCTGTTGAGTGTTGGTAGTAGCAGCATTTTCTTCTTTTGAAATATCAAAATATTACCTTTGGTTCACATAATATTTGTCTCAAGACTTTTGCACACCTCTTAAACAAAGATTTTGAATAGCCTTAATCATAAAAATATTCGTCTAAATATCCTTAACACTCCACTAATTCGAGCAACAGATTCTTGAAATTCAAAGAAGCAACAGCAATTCTAAACTTATTCGCAAGATTTCGAAACTCACCTTGTTTTCCTGATGAATTTGTGTTCCACATCTCATTTCATGTATTCTCAACAGACATAACAAGATTTATAAATGTTGAAGAAGAAGGAAGCTGACGATTGGACATGTCAAAGGAACAGGTCCAACGAAGCTGACTGACGAGTTTACCGCACTTGTTGGAGACACGTCAGTCAACTTCGTTGGACCTGTTCCTTTGACATGTTCCAATCGTCAGCTTCCTTCTTCTTCAACAATAAAATGGTGAAAAGAACCAATCCATAATGAATCAGAGTTACATGAATCAGCAGTGGCGGACCCAACAATGGGTTTGCGAGTCATATAGAAAACTCATTTTTTTGTGGTTGAATTACTTTATATATGTGCGAAAAAACAAGCATATCTGTATATATGACTTATGCATTGATAAAACTATGAAATTCATGAATGACATTGTTGATTTACTGCATTGGTGAAAGTGAGAAATGGTGGCTACAATATATGTGACACTCTTTTTAAACTGTGCCACATAAATTGGGACAGAGGAAATATTTCGTATTCCTGGGACAAACAAAAATGCAGCAAGGCCTGTGAAGAGGTGGGTCTATTGTTTCAAGATTTCTTTGTGTTAAAGCTTATTCAACTCAAAGTAAACTCATCATTTTGTTGCATTCTTTTTTCATGACTTGAGGAATAAGTGGACCTCATATGCAGGTGCCTTCCTTTTTAGGATTAAAGTTGCTAATTAAACACTTAGGATGACACTTCGATTCACCCTAGTCTATTTCGAATCTCCACCATCTCGGGAGGTGTGATAGTGCCTAATAGTACTCTTTCCATCTCAAAATACTTGAATGTTTCTCTTTTTAAATTAAAAGTCAAGCTATATAAATTTTGATTAACATTTAAGATATATTTTTTCATCATATTGATAGGACGACAAGTTATAATTTCTGAATATCTAAATTGTAATTTTAAAATATTGAATTAGTCTAACCCAATTTAACTCAGAAAACAAGCCAAAGTAAATCTTGAGAAGCGAAGCATGACGACTTATGTGGGATAGAGAAAGTACTAGTAAAGTCCAAATTTAATTTCTCGTAGAGTTATCAATAGTGAATTCAACCCAACAGCATCTTAGCTGAAAATTCTCCACCACTCCTTTTAGGTATTGCCTTTTCAAAGACGGTCATAAGGATATAATGCTACTGTTGATTCTCTTATACAAGCTCCGTTGTAGTCTAGTTGGTTAGGATACTCGGCTCTCACCCGAGAGACCCGGGTTCAAGTCCCGGCAACGGAATTTACTTTTTTTCTTTTAGTTTTTTAGCAACAAAATATATAATACTATGGGCACACATAAATTTTGGTCTAAACAAAGGACTTAACAATGCTTTAATTCATCTATAATTAATTGAACAAAACACAAGCAAGTCATGCTTTAGGATTTGTTTAACATTTGACAAGATAGGTAGAATGAAAAGAATATCAATCTTGTCACTTGGGCATAACTAGTGAACAATTGAACAACACATACTAGTATTTTCAATTAAGCATTACTTATAAATAATTTAAAGATAACCACGGTCACAACGAAGATTGTACTTAAAATCATCACTTAGCTAGACAAAATCCTGTGAAGTTAACGCACTAAGCAAAAAGAATTTCCTAGAATGGAAAGGAAGATAGAAGAAGAAGAAAGTGTTTGTGTTGGAACATATGTAATCCTGAAATCCTTGATTGTTTAGTGTAGATCATGGAACACATGTGCAAACCTTATTTATTGCCTGCCTTATCCTATTGGGACATTTTTTTCATTCAGTATTTGATATTCATATTGGAATCTGATTAAAATTTGAATTCGCATAAGAAAGTCCCACATTAGGAAGTGCTTCCTAACAAAAGCAACTCCATACCTGGAAAACTCGAACATGAGACCTCTAGTTTAAATTAAAGAAGTACGTACTGTTCCACAACCTTTGTTGGTATCCTACTTGGACATTACAAATAGGTGTTAGTATTACACAACGGGAGGTGAAGTGTGAGGTGGAGGAATCAATTAATTAGGCCAATGCTTGCCCATACTTGTATAAAAGGAAACGTTGGTGGGGACAATTAAGGCATATATAGGCACTGATGGTGCTCGATGTGGACATCGATTTGTGGAGGGACACTAATTAAAGCATAATTGAGACACTGTGATGCAAATTCGTTTAAATACTCTTAATTGAATTTAATACACACATATATATACACATAAAGAATAACAATAATAATGTATCTATGTCCTGAGCTATTTGATGAAATCAGTTATATAAATCCTCACTATTTTATGCCGTTTCATTTTAACTCGCTTCAATCCAATAATATATGAAATAAAACTATAAATAGAAAACAATAAAAGTTATCTATATTTCTCTTTGAAGGTCCCTAGAAAAACATTGAACCTTAAGTAAACATACGAACTCCAGAAAAATGAAATTAAAGAAAGAAGTGCGCAAACCAAGTTTATGAGTGATGTATGTATCCCAGTAACAGAGTTAATCAAATCATGATTCCAATTAATCAAGAAGTAACTCGATCCATAAAATCATGTTGAGCCAGATTATAAATTGGCTGTTAATTTATTCAAGTAATTAATCAGAGAAAACATCGACATGAACTTGTTCATCCTCTTGTTCATTAACACCAAGCAAAGCCATAATCTCATCTTCAACATTATTCTCATCCAGCATATCCTCCCAAAATCCTTCATTATTTTTCTCAACATAATTATTTTCTTCTTCCAAATTGATTAATGTGTTCCCATGTGACATGTTCATAGCCACTTGTAAATCATCATCAAATTCATTATTAATATCATGATCACCAAGAGATTCTAACTTTATTATATTACTAGGACATGCAGCAGCTTGATGATAATCAATTGGCCTCCTTCTCTTGTTGTTGATTGCTTCTTCAAGTTGTTTCCTTTTATCCTTTTGTTGCATTATTTGCTCCACAAAGTTTGGATTTTGTAATGCTTTAGCCAAGAAACTCATTATTTTCTCCTGTTTGATTTCTGTCCCTTGAAGCTTTTGTTCCATAACTTGAAGTTGTGATTTTGTAGCCTTTTGATGCTGTTTAAGTTTAACAAGTTCAATCATGAGAACCTGCTTGTCGCGCCTTAATTCATCAATTTCTCCATCGAATGATCCAAAGCTTCCCAACTCAACACATGATGATGATGAAGAATCCATACCTTGGTTAATTGATGACGACAACTTGATGAAATTACTTGTTTTTCTTCTCCTAATTGTTCTCAAGAGATGCTTTTCCCCTCTCAAAAAACCTCCATTAGCAAATTCCCAATGGTCTGGATTTACTTTCCTAAATCCCTGCAATTTTTTTAACACATTCCTATATATTCCTCCATAAGAATATAAAAACACAAGCCAATGATACTACAACAAAAACAACTTTTAGCGACAATAAATATGTACATTAACAAAGAGTGCTAAAGTCTTTACTGACATTAGTTAATTGTCGTTGGATCCAATATAGCTGTAGGCCTTAGGGTAATTTACAAAGACTGCTAAAATAATAATTATCACTAGTAATTGGGTCTGAAAAAACATATTTAACAGCAATTAAATTATTATCGTTAATTAATTGCCGCTAGTGTGCAAAAACAATAATTGTGGAGTAGTACTCTTTGTTGAGACAATCACTAACAAAATTGTTTAATAATTTGTCACTAAATAGAATTAATGAAGGATTTTGTTATTTAGCTATATATATATGGTCTTTCTATCGTCACTAATTCTTTTTTTAAGCCCAAAGAAGATATCCACCTCCCTTTCATAGTGATTGAGATTTAAAAAACTCAGGCTAGACTTTGGAACCTCAGGAACATATATGCAAATTTAAAGAAATAAAAATTCTTTAAAGCAACTATATATTCATCACATGATCCTCAAGAGCTTTAATATAATTCTTCATCTTTCTTGTTCCCATTGATTAAGTATATATGAGTGTATTAGATTAAAAAATATATATATGTTTAGTGCAGGTTAAATTGACCTATTAAACATGTATAACTATGTATCAATCTTGATATGACAATTTTTCGTATGTCATGGTGTATGTTATACAAAATCAAATATCTAGTCAAACATCGTCACATAGGTGAATTGTCGTCATATATAGGTAGAAAATGAAAATAATGCTTACATAAGTATTGAGCTGCCTGACAAAGCTTGAGAAATTGTTATGCTTGAAATACCTTGGAAGAAAATTAATGGCCAAGTTCTGGGGATCCCATACTATGAAACTATTGTTACCTCTACTCCAAGAAACGACGTCGTTGCTACTTGGATCATCCACAAGTTCATATGTTTTTGTAAGAAATGGTGGAGGTCCATTCTCATGAAGACACTCCTTTGGTTGAGGAATCAAAAATGATCCATCAAACTCTTCTTTTATTAAATTTCCAAAATCATCCATGCTTTGATTCTTCAACAAATATGCTTATAAAGATAGTATATTATTTTGAGTCAATGTCAAAGTTAAGAAGATAGAGGAAATTGGCAAGGTAATAAAAGAGTTTGTGAATATATGAGAAAAGATAGGGTTAATATTAATTTGGAGTATGGGTAAGAGGGAGAAAGAAGTAGGACAAAGTAATATGTTTGCAATATTAGAATTTGGAGGTATATTAACAAGAGAGTAATGAGAATTAAAAAGGAAGTAAAGTGAGGGTTCAATGAATATTTTATACATTCTTTTACTATTGCGTGGAATGGTCCTCTAGATATTTTGAGTCCTTTTCCCTCTTTAATCCGAATAGTTAGACTTCAATATTAGTATCAGATATCAATTAGTCAAAAATCAAAAAAAAAATATCTCTTTTCAACTTTTGGAAGTTTTGCGAGTGAAATAATTCTCATGTTATTCTTTCAAGCCTTCATTTTGGTTGGTTTTTTATATGTGATATTTATTTTGAAATTTTAATTAATTTAATTTTTTAAAAGAATATATAATATGAATTAAAATTATTGAATTTTTTGCCAAAATGTTCATGAATTTTAGAAATTTGTTAAACTGTCCTACACATCACATGTTTTTTTTTTTTTTTTTTACGATTTGAAAATTCTTTACCTAGTATAGTAGTGATATTTAGAAGTTTGTGAAAAAAGGATTTGCTTGAAAATATCTTGGCTAGCTACCCTAAAGTAAGGAAAATATCTTGGCAACCAAATATTATTATATGCATTAATCAAATGAAACTTTGAATTGATAATTATAGCTTAAGGACGGTCCACTTGTATGAACCTAATGGAACCACGCGTCTAGATCTTGCATATTGCTAAATAAATAAGATTCTACACATTTTAATAATATGCTCCCTTTAAAACAACTAAATTATTAAGGTATGCATTTGAATGGTGATTTTAGTTTATTAAATTTATATTATTTTTCTATCAGAATTATATATTTATTATGTTCGTTAATACGTAGACCAATAACATGATATGTGATATGGTTAATATTATTAAGTATAATAGTAAGCACGTTTACCAAAAGACAAAATTGGGAAGTTGTTGGTATAAAGCAAAAGTCGTGTACAAGCATTTGATTGGTTATGATTTTGACAATAAAAAATTAGGCAAAATAGTGAGGTGAATTCGTCCACGTCAATTGAGTTCCAGGTGGAGAATTTGTATTTGAATTAGTGGTAACATAACATCATTTGGCTCTTGTTTGATTAATTAATTAATTAATTAGTATTCAAATCAAATCACTTAACGGGTCACATGATTACAAAGTTTCCCGTTTCGCGTCAAGAATAGAGACACTTACAATACAACTAAATTAATTAAGTTCCTACCAAAATATGAAATAAATTAATTTAAGTTGACAAATCAAGACAAGAGCAATACTCTCAAATTGTGACTACTCCTCCGTCAATTTTTACTTGTACTTTATCAATAAAAAAATAAATATCTACTTTTCTTGTCTAGTTAAAAAATGGGAAAATTACCCAACAAGAAAAATGTCAATATATACATTTATGAAACACAATTATTGTTTAAAAATATTACAATAAATCACTATATGTTACTCTCTTTCTAATTACTTATCCACTTTTCCTTTTATAGTTGTCCCTAATTACTTGTCCATTTTGACAAATCAAAAAAGGACAATTTCTTTTTACCTATTATACCCTCAATTAAATGACTAATTACTTTGAAAAATGCAGAACTTTTCATTCACTTCATAATTAATAAGGGTAAAATGGTAAACTCACTATGTCCTTAATTGTTTTCTTAATAGGTGTGTCAATTCAAAAGTGGACAAGTAATTAGGGACAGAGAGAGTATTTTTATAGCAAACTCTCTCTTTCCCTTGCCCCTTCTCTCTCTCGCCCCTGCCTATAAAAAGAAATCTATTCAAATGTATTATATATCAACTGTATTCAATCACATATAAGTGAGAGTGTTGTATTTATACCAATTGTATTCGAAAAACATATTTATATTTTGTATCAACTGTATTTGTATTCATACGATACAATATTCATTCATCCTCTCTGTAAAATATGTGATATATCAATTGTATCCAATCAAATATAGGTAAGAGATTTGTATTTTATATCGATTATATTTGAAAAACTAAATTCGTATTTTTGTATCGATTGTATTCAAAATACAATGAAAAAAACATGTATTCATCCTCTCCCCTCCCTCTCTCAATCTTTGTGAAATTGCAGCTAAGGAGTCCTATTTAAAGACTAATGTTTGCTGTTTTTGAAAGTTTTCCTTAGAAAATGACAATTTATTATGTTTCTAAGTTATCCTTATTATTAATTATAGTCATTTTTCAAAGTATTAAATTTATTACTATATTCAAAGGGTATAATACCATTTATTTATTGCTCCTTAAAAGTGTGGCAAGTTAAAAATGAACAAAACAATTATTATAAGAAAAATCTATCTCTCTCTCTCTATATATATATAACTTTACATACAAGTGTAAGTATATCTATGAGTTGATTTATGTATATCTTGATTAATTTTATTTGATATATTTATTAGGAGTACCGTCTATTTGCCCATCATTTTCGAAATTTTACTTATGAAATAAACTGAATATATTTGTTAATGTTATCAACACGATACTGCTGGATAATGTTGTGCCTGGAATTTTTATTTTTTATTATTTTACCTCGATGGATTTTGAAGCTGAGAATTCATGGTACTCTATTTTTTTCTCGATAATTAGTGTTAGTCCATATTTGTATTAAAATCCTATAGAATTTAGATTTGCGTAAGGTAGGGTTCATTTTTGGGGCTAGTATATATATATATATATATATAAAGGAGAAACATAGAGGAGGTGATGTGGCACCTCTCTATGGCCTCCATTCACATTTGTCTTTTTTTCTCTTCTTTTTTTTAAATTTTTTTTCTTTCTTTCTCTATATAAAAATTGATTAACAAAAGCCTTAAATATTTGGATAATAAATCTCATGTAATTATATTAAGTCAGCCCACGTTGTAGTAGTAACCTAAGATGTTCTTATCATAAAAATTTATTACACACGTTCAATCTCTTTTATGGAGAATAACCGATTCATTAGGAAGTTTAAAAGTGGCATCAATTTTATTGTCCAGCAAATATATATAAGAGGAGAAACTCATCTTTATTTCCTACTACTAAGCCATGAAATGTGACTGCTGCTTCTTCTCAATTTGTCAAGTTTGAACTTTGATCTGAGGTGCTATCAACACAACAATATACTTTCTTTGGTATGTCAAATTTATTCTTCTATTACATTCTTTTCCCCCTTTATTTATGCTTCAATTTTTTATTAAAAAATATTATCACATAGTAGCCAAAGCCTATCAACAATTCAAAGGTTCCTTTTATTTTTTTAAATTATAGATTACGTTATTCATTATTAATTGAGATGTAATAATCTTTTTTAAAGTATCGTCAGTTTTCTTTGGTCTAATGAATAAACTTTGTTTAGATCTTCATATTTTTCCATGCTTAATTGATAGTATATCTATGACCATCTCGACCTTGTAAAATATTCTGAATCTCAATTTTACAATAGTTTATAAGTGCAACTGATGAGGTCTTGAAAAATATAAAAAACAATTTCGACAAAAATCAAATAGCAAAAATATTGGATTAAAAATATGGAATTGGATACAAATATGCTTAGAACTTAGAAGAAAGTGAGACAATTTACCGAAATAAGAATAGGAATATAGAGGAGACATTGAGTGAGAGAACAAAGGGGAAAGGGAGAAAAGATGGCAAAAAAGAATCGAATGAATGAAGTTATAAGGAAGAAGAAAATATATTTTTTGTTTGCATCAGAATGAAATTGCATGTATCATGTATTTTGTTGACCTTTTCAAGCAATCAAAAACTTAAAAAATGATTAATATATTTAAAATAATTTAGTATTTAGAGAATATCATGTCGATTCATCATTATTAGGTTGTGATATGATTCCAAAGAATAAATTGGATATGAACAATTTCAATAAAATTTTATTCTTGAACAAAAAATTATTTCATGTATTTCATGATGGAAATTCTATTAATAATCGAATTGGATTTAATGTAGGGATTTACCGATGACGCTAATATGGAGAAAAGTATTTTGTAATATGTCGTTGTGATTCAGTAACAAGAAATCATACGACAACAATCTATGATGATTATGTTTATTTTCCTACATTTTCTAAATATATTTAGTTATGTTTATGCATATAAAGATCAAACATAATATTTAAATTCTGTATATGTGTATATATAATGAAATAGTTATATATATTTGATATTTTTCTTTATTTTTTTATTTATATAATTTATTATTAGAAAATCTAAAGTTATTCTTAATTACTTTCTTTTAATTATTCCTCTCTTTTTTAGTTTAGAAAAATCCAAGAGTGATTATCATTAATTTGGCAATTTAATGACTACTTACTGTACAATAAAATAACAAACACGTATATTCTTTAGCTGGGGATCTCATTTTTTTTCTTTTCTTTCTTTTGACTTCTTTTGTTCCATTATTCTCTATGTAACAATTTCTTATTTCTAATGGAATTGAATAACTAATACTTATTTATGAGACTTTTTCATTTTCTTAATCCGTTTTTCATTTCTTTCGTGTTTGTAGATGATCAACAATTATTTAATCTCATTTAAGTTTAATTAATAGTTAATACATATTAATATTCATGCATTTAATCTTCTCCCATATTCCTTGGGTTTTCTCAAATTCTTCTTTCAAATATATCACATGTAGTACTTCAGTTTTGCAGTTGTAAGCTTATGTCTAAAAGTCTAATTTTCATATTTTTTAATTTTTTTTTATAATGGTGTGATCTTTAGATCAGCTTGCGCGTGCATTTTAATTAATTTCATGAGATAAATGTCACCTCTCATCAACAATAGATACCAGGTCATTATTTAATTTGTTTCAATTATTTTATGTTAGATAAGTAGGAAGACAATGAAGACAAAGAAAGAATGTAGATCTTCACTTGGCATATGCACTATTTTATTTGTTTAAAACTTTGTTTAATCAAAATTATCTTGTGAGATTCATATTTTTTTGATTTGGTTGAATTTATTTGTACGAGCAATTAAAAAGACCAATAGTAAGAGATTATATAAAAATTAAAACACATAG